GTTGGTCCTTAACTCAATCCGAGATGCAAGAACATCCTCCAGCAGTAAGCAGCTTCCCTCTTCCTACAGTTACCACCTAAGTCCAGATGCCAGCCTGACCTTTGCTCATATTTCTGAGACAAGTCAACGGGAGAGCTGTTTGCCTTTTAAGTTCATCCTCTCTCCTCTTGCAAGAGAGTGACCAAGTATAGAGTTTTTCCCCACTCAGGCAAGATCCTCATCTCATAGCGCACAAGCTACTGGAGGAGTAATACAAATGCGACACTGCTCTGAACTACACGGACGCTAAAAGCCCCGTGTTCTCCTTCCAGATGAGGGCAATCAGTATCACTGTAGTTCTCCTCATCACTCGGGAAGACGGACCGCTCACGTTACCAGACTCACAGAGGACAAGCTAGCCACAGAAATACAGCAGGCTTCTGATTTTCAGCTAGCAAGAGAGGAGAAATATAGGAAACCGGTTAAAAAACCTTATGGAAGCCTAAAGTTACAGTGCTGGCAGCTCATTTATACAAGTGTCAGACTGAGCAGCTCCAGCCCTCTTCACATAACCACCTCCTTGTCTGGAAGGAAGTTCCCTCCTCAAGGATGCTCCGAGCTGGATGCTCAGAGCGTCTTGCGAGAACTTTGGAAGGACTGACTTGCCATTGAGAAGCGAAAGTCAGCCACTGCCTGGAGGGCAGCTAAAACTTGAAACCAAACTGTTCGTGACACACGTATCTCTAGTCCAAATACAACTAGCAAAAAGGGGATTTTGGCTTCTATACTCCCCCCCCCCCCAAGTTGTTTGAGAGTTTGTTTTGGTTTATGTTAGAAATTCCATGAATACTTGAAATAAACGTAGCCAGAGCACCATGTCTGTTTTCATTTTCACTGAGGCTGAGCTAGTGGTTAGATGTGTTTCCTTGCTTAATTAGTATTTGGGCAAAAAAAAGCCACCGTGTTTGGACAGACATTCACAAGCTCGTATTTTACACAGTGTCCCCTATAAAATCCAATAAAAACAAAACATTCACGGCTATTAAGAGAAAAGGCTGCCAAAGACATCTTTCAAAGATGCTAACTCTTCAGATACTCTTACACTGATTTTAACATACTGTCCTGGTTTCAGCTGGGATAGAGTTAATTTCCTTCCTAGCAGCTGGTACAGTGCTGTGTGTTGGATTTAGGATGAGAACAATGTTGATAACGCACCGATGTTGTAGTTGTTGCTGAGCAGTGCTTACACTGGTCAAGGGCTTTTCAGTTTCTCATGCCCTGCCAGCGAGAAGGTGGGAGGGGGCACAGCCAGGACAGCTGACCCGAACTGGCCAAAGGGACATTCCATACCATGTGGCGTCATGCTCAGTACAGAAACTGGGGGGAGTTGG